AAAAAACCAACAAAAACAAAAAAATGAATTAAAACAATTCATATGTATTTCAAGGTAGTGTATAGTCAGTGCTGTAGGCTCAACTGCAAGTGCTCAAACTAATGCCAGAGTGTTGTTTTAATTTCTACACATTTCTCTCTTTTAATAGACCATGCCAAAAGTTGCTAGCAGCCCCCAGGCAGTAAAGAAGAATTATGTACAGTGAAAACAGATAAAACATTTCACAAAAAGTCATGCTTCCACATCACTGCCCTTACCTTCGTCTTTATTTTCCTCCTCTTCAGCTGCAGGTTGAATGCCTAGTTTAGCATCCTGTTCCGGTTGCCGAGTGTAATGTACAACAGTCATATGGGGATCCTGGTCTGGAGCCTGGGGATTTTCTATAAAGCTGTTGCCAGATGCATCATCAAGGACAAGAGTGAATTTCATCTCACTATTACGACACTTCGTCAGTTGTGATATAATAATGTCAATCTTAGCGGCATTATCAGGATCAATGATCTGTATTATAATAAAAAAAAAATTTAAAAAACTCAAGGCAGGTAATACAGTGTCAAACAACCCTGCAAAAAGCATATGCTAATCAATTCAGTTTACTCCAAGGCCCTAGTTTTTAGTGCTTAATGGAAGATGCTTATTGTGGCAGAGCACTCGTAACAGATGGAATATATCTCAAGTTCCAAAAACAGTTAGTGAACAGGCTATTATTTCTGAAGGAAACGATAAACAATAGCTATCTAGTGTTATAGACAAATAAGAATATAAAATGTTCCTTTAGTTACTCAAAGACAAACATGCAGCATTGTTTAAAGTGCATTGACCAAAAGCTGTCAATGTAGACTACAACTTTTGCCGTGATTCTGTTCTCATTCAGTCTGTGTATTAAAAACTGACGAAAAATGACACATCTTTTCTTGTCTAAGTTGCCCCTAAAATGTGTCAGATTGCATCTCCAGCCAGATAACTTTTGAAAATTTTTTGGCAGGCATGCCCCCTTACCCCCTAGAAGTTTGCATCCTTCGGACACCTGATTTGCAAGCACTGGCTACTTTAAATTTTTAGCTGACTACTTCTCAAAGTCTGTGGAGAACACTGAACACGTACATGTGGATATTTCATTTTTACTGCTGCATCTTTCAGCTAGACAACCTGAAGTTCAAAACCTGACTAATGATTACATTTTTGGCCGTTGTCGATCATATTTATAACAGCAACCAAAGACCCTTGGAAAGAAGAAACAAACAAAATACTAATAGTAGATGATAATCTACCAGTCATAACACATGGCCATGACCTTTTGAACCTGTTGAAGTAATTAAACTTCTCTTTCCTGAGAGGTCTGCTAACATGACTGATGATGGTGAAACATGAAATTATTGATTGTGCAGGAATCATGCATTATTGAAAGTTGCAGTAATAACCTAACCAGTTAATATCTCTTTTACTTCCCAGTTTTATATTTTTTTAATGGGGTTTAACACACAGAAGACTTGTCCTAATGGGTAATGTTTGGCAAGTAATGATGTAAGTGCTGAGTAGCCCAACAGTTAGGAGTATCAAACATGTTTGATTACAGTCCAAACGAACAAAATGTTTTGCAATGTTTGATCAAATGTTTTACGACTTTCAAACTTAATCAAACATGATCAAACAAGGTGTCCAAACAGAAAAATATTTGGTCACCAAACATTTCCCATATGGTCAGGTCTTAATTAAGTCCTCAGTATGCTTCTCTTCCTGCTACTCTTTGCACTGAAGTTTTCAGTGTTCCAGACCTTTTTCTTGCTCTGCATTTGGTTTCCACAGTTTGACTTCAGGCAAGTATATCCCCAGCTCAGAATCAAGATCTGGATCTCATGTTTGGTCAATAAATCTTACCATTATTTACAGTTGATGATAGGTTAATATTAAAAACCGTAATATTTGCTGAGTGTACCTTTCTGACAGGCTGATCTTGCCCCAAGCCAGCAATAGCACGTTCTAAGAGCCCTTCGATGGTGTTGAGTTCTGAAAGTAATTTTCAGACATACAGTACATGAATGGGAATCATGGGTATGAAATTGTATATGATGGTGATTAATAGGCTGGTGTTTTTCACATCAAAAGTTTCTTCTTGTTTGTACTTTCCCCTGGTACATTGGGGCAATAGTCTGAGCTTTAAATTCAATAATGGGGTTTCAAAAAGAATGCTCTGAATAATTTTATTTTTTATTATAAATAGTCATGGATTTATATTTTTCACAGTTTTATGTGAGTTTTTTTTTTTTTCCATCTTTTTTTTTTTTTTGCATGCAACCTGTTGCCTTCCACTATATCTATAAGCATCTCATGATATCATTGATAACTTTGAAATTTTCACAGATATTTCCATTGAGCATTGTATTGTGAGAAATCCTCCCTAGAATATGTTAAGAGTGAGTAACAAAATTTGAACACCAATCTTACTTCAAGTAACTGGGGAAAAAAACTGCTGTTTTCAACCTTACCTCCTTTTTGTGAGAATGCAGGACTCTCAAACTCCAGCTCTGGAATAGTGAATGAAGCTGCATCTGATTTCACAACTTGTCTGTTCAAATCCTGCAACAAAACACCAAATGATTTCAGTCTTGTCAGAGAATTTTTATAAAGCATGTGTCTGTTTGGGAATTTGTTAGAATGATTACCGGTACGTAGCTTACTTATTTTAAATCCTTGTCATGCCTATTACTGGGCTGTTATTGAAATTCAGTGATTACATGTGCATGAACATACAGTTGAACCTCTGGTTGTGACCACCTCTCATAAGTGACCACCTCTCCTCAGTGACCAGTTTTCCAAAATACCAAAAGTTGCCATTAATCAAATCACTATAATTCGAACCTCTTGTAAGCTGCTGCAACCACATTCAAAGCTAAAAGTTTGAAATTTGCTTTTGTTTTAACCTCTCATAAATGACCACTGACAGATAACAGAGTGCAAATTGGATAATAAGTTGTTGTTCCGTTTGACTTATTACCGTAAGTAGTTTATCAGAAGCAAACCATGACACTGTGAATAACTACATGTACTATGGAAAGCTTATTATTTAAATATCAAATATTTTTGTGACTACTAAAAAGTTATTGCATGGTTTAGATGTGCATTTTTGGCACATGGGGTAAGTCTCTTCAGTTACCATATGCTAATGAGGCAAACTTTTGACCCAACATGGTCTAAGCTCTTGTAAGCAACCACCTCCTGTAAGAAACAACCTAAGCTTAACATTTTGGATGGTCGCTTATGGGAGGTTTGAATTAACAACTAGGAATAGTTACACTGTTATTAGCTACATGTAACAGTATGCACACAAACAAATTTATAGGTATTACTTATTTTTATAGCTGCTTCTGCTGTTACTAATAACTTATTGTTAATTTTTTTTTGTTTTGCTTCTTCTGGTGTGAAGAAATAATAAATTACACAGCAAGGGAGCATTCAGCCAGCCCAACCATCCTGTGGATGCCAAGTTTTAATTTTTTTGCCTGTTAAGCACTTTAATTATAAATTGTTGGCTTGAACTGGTCCCATTACTCAAATCAATTATGGATGAACACTTTGTAATTGTTCTTGGTTTACACCCTGTGGTACACAAACAGCAATTGGTTTTGAACAACAACATGTACCTCCAGTATGTAATGACCATATGGCAGAATATGTCTTTGACACAGAACTGGTAATAATTTCAGTTTGCGTGTGGAAAATGTTTAACTATACCCAAGGCTGTAGGGCTCTACATGTACATGTACTAATCAATAGTTGAACCAAAGCATTTTATTTCAGGATCCTGGAAGAGGACTATGTATGTGCTAAAAATAAAACAACTGTATGAAAGAGTTTTTTTTTTCTCCCTGAAATTATTCATATTGTTATGGACCTGAAACTTCACCTTCCTCAAGGAATTAATCGAGAAAGAAAAGTAAAAGATTTCTGCTCCTTGTGTTCCGATTCATGTGACTCAATTTGAGATGCTTTTCCATGCCTAACATCCTAACAAGTGCTTTGCTTGTGGCAGTATGATGGTTGAGCACCAGTCTTATGTTAGTATCACAATCATAATCAAGATTTCAGCATTTAAAATAATCAGCTTCCACAAAACCTGTACCTCTGGTGAAGAAACTGACAGCTTCATTGTGCATCCCTTTTCTTGTATTCTTCCTGCCGACTGGATTTCATTGTTTGTACATCCACAGTGTGGACACTCAAATGACATGAGAATTATCTCTTTGAAGAATGGAATTCTGGTAAGAAGCAATCTGGTTGTCCCCTGTTTCATCATAAAAGAGAAATAATTAATTTGGTCATGTTGGTGCACTCCAGGTTGTCATAAAGTTCTGAGTCCCCTATTATCTTGATCTTCACACCAGCAAGTTTCAGGTTTGTTTCTTTGAAACTTAGCCTGTTTCAGGCTCTCAGTTTTTGGGGGCAAGTGAAATTAAAGGGGAGCAAGGCGAAGAAGAGAACGTGGAAGATCAGTGCTTTTTTTTTTTTTTTTCACTCATTATTCGCGTCAGCTTCCCTCTACAAACCAATTGCCCAGAACAGGTTAGAGTGATTTAAAATGTCAACAACAGAAAAGTTCATACGCAACATCATTATTCATAGCAGTTCCTTGTAAATAGGGACTGGCTTATTGTCCCCCTGGGGTGGGGGATCTGGCATACATGTATTCCAAGTCATTTCAACACCAGCTGTACCAGGCATTTGTTCATTTAAAACGGATGATGTCTAGGGCACTGTAAGTGGTACATAGGCACTTTAAGCCTTATTCGTCTCATTCATTTATAATCTGATCTTTACATAAAAGCTCTTTATAGGAAAACCGTTCTCAAACCTGCTTTGCAAGGATTTCTATTCCTTGATGCATATATAAAGTCCTCGAATGTAAAACTCCACAATATTTTATTAAATAAACCCACGGAATGATTCAGTTAACACTGTAAAACTTGTAGAACTTTCATGCAGTACTCACGTTTTTTTCGCAAGATAAACACAGGCTTTCGATGGCGGTGGTTTCTGGTTCATCATCAGCATCGATATCCTTAAATAGCGGCCCTTTGGGTTCTTCGTCCATTGCTTTATCTTAACCGTGGCGTTTATGAAAGTAAACTTTAAAATTCCTCGAAAAATCGACCAAAATACTACATCTCTTTACCCCACGTTCTAAAATTTCTGCAATTCACTGATGTAACCGCACTGAAAAAATGCAGGCTCATTCACCTTGATACCAGTCTCTCGCCACTTTTAACATGGCCGCCGATCGAAGAGCCAATCAGAATGTTACATCAGCATTTGCACATGGTTCACACGATCCAAGATGGGGAATGTACTAGCGGCTTCACCGTCGAATCCCTCATCTTCTAGCAACGTCACCTCAATACCGCCGCCTCCACCCCTTACGGCACCTCCTCCTGTAGAAGCCAAGCCGCCGCCATCGGAGAAACAGGCATCCAACAACCCTGGGACGTACGAAGACTTACACAAGGCATGCAAAGGTAGGCTGCACAGAGGCAGTACAACTCTCACCGGCTTCGAGGTTTTTTTCCGGTTATGTAAGACTTCTGTCGTAGTAAAGCTAAATCACGAATGTTTAAGGTCTTCTCATTGTACTATAGAATAATATGACGTGGCTCGATTTCCGTAAATTTACGGGATGTTAAAATTTAGCGCCGTTAACGTTATTTCAGCTGATATATGCATTGAGCTTAGTTAACGTAACTTTTTACTATGCTTAAGTAGAAATTGAATTTCTGGATCCGTTCACTGGATAAATGCAGTCATTATGAATCAGCCCATCTACCGTTTAAATGCACGGCGATTCTAAGATTTCCAAAGAGATTTTACTTAAGACCGGATTTTTACAAATTATTAATAGAGAGATTTTAACAAAATCTCATGTTACAAGTATCTGTACTACTCTAGTGCAATATATACTGTAGTAGATCACGCCTACCTCTCCCTCACAGTGTCTTCGCCCTGAACAAGTTTTATAATAAAAAAAAAAAAGTGAAATAGTAATAACCTGTTCGTTGTGCCACCACAGATCTCTTGAAAAAAATTATCAATCAATCAAAGCAAATTCGAGTGCGGTGTCTTGTAGATTTTGGACAAGGAGACAGGAGGTTATCACGCTGTACCTGAGTAATATTTTAAGTTTACCATCAAAAGGGACTGCTGTACTTTTGAAAACAGTCATGTTCACATGGTCACAGCCTGTCAATTTGTGGGGTGCCTGGCCCTTGATGAAACCTTTACCAAAGAAACACATGAATCCCATCATCATCATTATAACCTTCTCCCGACTTGCGAGATGGAGCCTTGACATGGATCTACAGCCTGGAGAATATACTTGTATCTCTTGAACTTTGACTTGCCAAAACCAATAACTCAAACTTTTAATGTTAAGCCACATTTTGTGTGATGCTGATATCTTTCTGGCATGCCTACAATATCGATCTTCGCAAGGTTATCCTCAACAAAAGTTCCTTTTCAATTATTGCAAGACAAATGGGTTAATACAATGTAGATATTAGCATCACCAGATCATCAGAAGTTTTCAGTTCAGTCACGCACATTTACTGTATCACAACTTGTTGATGTTGTCACCTGAAGTACCCTCTCTGATCTGGAACACTGGAAATTGTTACCTACATTAGTTGCTGATTTTTCCCACACCAGCTTCTTGTGTTTAGCTTTTGGCACTTGAGGTTAGACTGAACTGCACACAAAATAAAACTTGAAATATCTGAGTTGCAAAAAGGGAGTTACAGTGTAAACTACATGTAAGCTATCACATCAATAAGTTTATTGCTACTATACTGCCTTTGATATGCTCCCTTAAAATATTTTCAGTGGTAAACGCATTGGTTAAACACAATGTAACTTGACAAGCATAATGATGATAAAAATCAGGATTGAAGTATTTCGCTTATCAATGTCAATCCAAGATTAAAATTTGATCAAAGGTTAATTTCTCAAGTATGGTTATTCCAACCTGAAACATCAACTACTTTCAGGGCAGGTATATGGTGAAGAGGTAAGAGTGCTTGTCCTTTATCATGGTGGCCCAGGTTTGAATACCAGACCCAGTGTCATTAGTGGGTTGTGAGTTTGCTGTTGGTTTTCATTTCTGCACCAAGGGTTTTTCCAGGAGTTCTCCAGTTTTCCTCCCTCTACAAAAACAAACACTCCAAATTCTTATATTTTAATCTTGATTTACACATACAAACTCCATAATAGTCATAACAAGTTTTTCAAAGCTCTTTTGTGTTTCATGGATAGAAACATGTAACTTTTCCTTGCAAAGGTCCTCCTTGTAATTCAGGATATAAATTTCCTTTCTAAAGAAATGAAATATTTGGTTTAACACTCATTCAGTGATAGCACAGTCTTAACTTTTGTTACTTTACAGATGTCTTTCCACAGCCATTTGAAGGCTGTAAGCTGGCCATCAACAAGGGCCTTAGCAATCATTTCCAAGTCAGTCACACCCTTCAGCTCAGTGGGATAGGCCCAGGAGCGTACCACTTTGGAGCAACTTATGTGGGAAATAAACAAATGGGTCCTAATGAGGTAACTGAAAGTACCATAGACATATCCAGAAAACATGTTTACATCTTGTTGCCACCCAGTTCAGACCACATGATGATTCATTTGGGAGGTTACAATTGTGCAATTTGTCATGCACAACTAAGTGCATGAGGGTACATATATGTGCAAACAGAACAATTATTGTCAGTAACCTTCCAAATAAATAATTGCGTGATCTGAATTGGGTGGCAACAAGCATGTAAACACATTATCCGAATCCCTCTATTCAATATTTTTATTACATCTGGATTTTCGAAAAGGGTGTTAATAAAATGATACCCTTGTGTAGGTGTTTTTTCCCTCCAAATTGGAAGTTATAATAATTTATGATCAAAAGAATGTCAGTTTCTTTTTTCTTGTCTACTCACTTATCTTCCTTCCATTTCTTTTCTTTTTTTCTTTCTTTTTTTTTTGCTTTATATTGCTTAAATTGATTTTTAGGCCTTTCAAGGAGTCACAAAATCAAAGTGTATAACTTATTTTCTGCAAAGGAACTCACTTTTCTTTAAACACTATTTTCATAAATCCAGTCACATACAAGTTGTATACACATAGATGTACATTGTAGAAACAGAATGACAAAGTGGCATCCACTTAGCTTGTACGTGAGTTAATGAGGTTCAGCTTGCATTGACTGCATCTTTTGTGGTCGTTTTTGTAGGCATTTCCTGTAATGCTCGGAGACATAGACACAAATGGAAGTCTTAATGCTCAAATTATTCACCAATTGACAGACAGAATCAGGGGGAAAATGGTGGTTCAGGTAACTCTTCAACTATAATTTGTGAGTCATAATTAGCAATTAGCCTGGGATTTCTGTTTGATGACAGTTGACAGGCCAAAGGTTGAATTAGCTCTCATTCCATGGACATTGAGAATGAGTTATCTAGTTGTTCAAGTATATTTTTATCTAAATTTCTTTGAAAGAATAATTTCCTACTTTAAAATACAGTAGTATTAAACCTGACCCTTCAGTTAAACTGCACAGACTGAATTATCACTTGAAGCTTTCAGCTGAACAAGTGTATGTGCAATCATCCATTTTTGTAGTTGGATATTGTTGTTTTTGTTGTTGTTCAGAGTTGTATAATGGCAAATGTCTTTCTTTTAGTTCTTGTGGAAATATATTGATCCAGTAATATTTCTAAATCTTCCTTAGAAACTTCAGAGGATCAAGAAAACATTACTATTTTGAAAACTTAGTACCTCTAGCCACAGCACATCTAGATTTAGTATAAATCTACTAGTGTTCTATCAAGAATGCCATTCTCTGATTGGCTACGGATCAATATATTTCCACACAATTCTGTGATAGATAGTGAGTAATGTAGCAGTGTGCCCTTGTTAACAAAATGACGGCTGCTTCTTGGCGTTTGTTTTTCTTTGCGTTTATTTAGATAAAGTTTTGAATGACTTGTAGATTTATACTAGAACAATTAGATTATTCGCTCTCGATTTCTATGCGTGATAGCAATCTCAAACTCAATCTAATTGTTTAATAGACTTGTACAATAGCTTAGTCAATAAAATTGCAGCATTTACATGTACATTATTTTAGTACCAAGATATTTTAAAGGTTTTGTGTATTAATGAACTTAACATGTTTTGGACATCTTTTGCAGACACAAAAATCAGTTTGGGTTCTAGTCCAAAGTGATGCCGAGTATAGAGGAAATGACTTCACTGCAAGTCTAACTGCTGGCAACATAGATATAGTTAATGGTTCAGGAATCCTTGTAGCGCACTATCTTCAAAGAATGGCCCCACGTGTTGATGTAGGTGGTGAACTGCTTTACCACTATGGCTCTGGGCAAGAATTAGCTATGATGTCTCTCGCTGGACGCTACACATCAGACAGGTGGATAGCTTCAGCAACTGTCGGTCAGACGGGATGGCATTTAAGTTACTGGCACAAGGGCAATGAGAATGTTAAAGTTGGCGTTGAGTATGAATACAACACAAGAGCACGCGATAGTTCTGTTAGTGCTGGGTATCAAATTGAGGTACCCAAATCCAATATTACGTTTCGTGGAATGGTAGACACAAATTGGACAGTGGCTGCTGTTATGGAAAAGAGACTTCCACCTTTGCCATTTGCATTTGTATTGAGTGGAATGGTGAATCATTCTAAGAATCAAGCGCGCTTCGGGTTTGGTCTCAACATTGGGTGAGGACCTTTACCAGCACCCAAGTGTTGTTGTCTTTTTTGGACTATTCTGTGGAGGTGAAATTCTACTGTTAATGCTGTCTTCTCTCATGGGAAACAGCTGCAGGATTGTCTTAACTTGCTGGGGAGTGTTTTATTTCAGAATTGAACATGTGGCATGTACAGAATAAGAACTATATATGAACAAAACTCTACGCTTTGTATTTGAGAACAAGACTGACTTATTTGGTACATGTACGTATCTGAACCTCAAAGGAAAGGTCGAGCTCTGAATCGCTGTCAATTTTTAGACATGGGGCATCAGCAAACGTCCTTTGTGTTTTTTGGTTCAAGAATAGGAGCTTAATAAAATGCAAATATGCAGTGTTTGTAGGATTTTGCATCAGTTTATGATGATTAGTGCTATTGTTTTCTTTTTGTTTTTGTTTTTGTTTTTGTTTTTTTTTACAGTACATGTATCTTCCCAGGAGTGATGGTTGATTTCCAGCCTATTTTGAAATCTGGTTGTGATCCTCCTTCCAAGTGTCAGGGAATGCTGGCTCACAAAATGGCTGGAAATTGAGCCTACAAGGGTGGCAAATATGCAATTTCAGCTTTCCCTCATCTGGATGTGACAGATTTATTAAAGTTTCAACAAAAATGTTCATCTTACTTGTTAAGGGGGTGACATACCACAATGCTGTGCCTTTTGCTCTCACATTATCTCTTTGAGGGTTTCTGCAATGTATAAAGAAACTCTCAGTTTTACAGAGGATAGGAATTTTAGCATTTTTTGATGATATTAAGGGTGGAAACCGAAAAGGAGTGTCAAATTTAGAAGATTTGAGGCAAAGGGGGAAAAATAATTAAATGAATAGACTTCTTTAATTTAACTTGTTTTAAATTCACTTTTTGAATTCCATCCTGATTAAAAGGGGCAACTATCAAAGACATTAAGACGGAATCCACCAGAAGTTCGAGTAACAAGTGGACAAAAACCTAGTACCGAGATTATTTACATCGTATTGCAAACTTCTGTACGACTGTTTTAAATATCTTCTCAAAAAAAATCATTTCTAGCAACACCAAACGTCGAAAACGAATGTTGAACTTCACACGAAACACTCGAAAGTACTGGTGAAGTGAAACTGATGATGAAATTTTGCCTGTGTTTGCACAAGTTCTCTGGACTTTGAAATTTATTTTGTCTCGTTCCCATGGGAAATTGTTTTCGGTGTTATTTCAGGCAATTATTTATGTATTTAGCTTTAAGAAAATGTAAAAATGACCGTAAAATACTTAAAATTATTCTGGTACCAGATTTTTGTCCACTAAAACCTGAAATTGCTCGATTTTCTATCGGATTTCGCGTTAAATACTGGCAATCTCTGGTATACACGGTGTGAAGTGCTACCAGAGGGGGATTAATTAATTCACCCAAGCTTTGGGGCGTCTTGATGAATAGCATGACGTCACTGTTTTTGCGGACTGAAGACGTTTCTAGCCCCAGTCCCTAAGTAAATCTTGCAAAAAATCGACGAAGTAGGGAGTGGTGGGGCGAGGTCGATTTTTTGCTCTCACTCCAATTTACGCGCGGCCAGAATACAGCAAAGCTCTTCGTACAGGAACGGTCGCTACACAGGCTAGCTGCCGGTGTTAATGTTACGCAGGGGCAGATCTAGGGGGAGGGTGTAGGGGTTGCAGATCCCCCCCCCCCCGCCCGAGGTAACATGCGGCTTTCTAATATAACTTGTATGCTCCCAAAAAAATTTATGTGGTTTATTGGTGTTAAGCCATTCCTTGGTGGTACACCCCCACCTAACAAAACTCATGGATCCACCCCTGTTACGACTTCCCATTCAACAGTTTGGAAAGTTCCGCTCTTGTAAGTCTTCTTGTACACAATGGCGGAACTAAAATTAACGCAAACTGCCAATATTTCAAGACCTTCGAGGGGTTTTTGGTAACGTAGAACAGAGAAACGACAATTGTGAACGCGGGAATCACTTGACATGATCATAATCCTTGAAATGATAATATTTTTTAACCTTTCTGTTCCACTGTACCAGTTATTTCAGCTTAGCTTAGGAAAATCAATCACGTTTTGAAATCACGCTAAGAGAAAGTGATCACGTTTTACGTACACGACTCGCGTGTATAACACTATAAGAGACAAGTCACGCGTGTAACAAACGTGGAAAGATAAATTTGCATTTGAGCTTGACAGCTATTTTTTCTATTATTTATTTTAGTCACTGATTCAATTTCGTCTAAGCTCCCTGTAATCCAAGGCAGAATACGCATTTCTACTGCTGTTATATCATGACATCTAATTATGTTCCCTTCAGAGCTTCACCAACGGGTAGGCGCAAGCCAACGGTCGAGTATTTAAAAAAAAATTGTAAAGGATCCGTTGGTGGAAAAATTGCACTGTTCGGTAAACAAACCGAATTATCATGAAACATGTTAGACCGCCGAAATTTTCTTGTCTGTCTAAGAGATGTTTACAATGGAAGAGTTTCTATACTTCCGACAACGCAATATACGAAGTCGCCTCGAAGACACTGCTTCGTGCTGAAAGTGAGAAGATATTAACTGCATTTTGCGCTATAATCAGTCGAGAGGTAGGTCAGATATTTAGTTACCGAACGCAGTCTAGGATTTAGTCCTTTCTGTATCACACTGCCATGTAGTGCATTGAGAATCAGACAGATCTCCCGAGATTAACTGATTCGACGAAATTGAAGCGTCCGGCTCTCAGTACTGTAAGTCTACGAAAGGAATTTACCAGGCATGCACCATAAAGAGTAATTTCAGTAATTCGTAGAACTGTTAGAACAATAACTACAGTGAATACCCTCGTAGAAATCAAAACAGTTGAAGTCAATTCGCACCAAGAGAAGTGCATGTCTCACCAAACAGCAAGATCTACCACCACGTTTAAGATTCCTCGGTGTTTAAGGATAGGTTTAAGAGTTTCACTCACCCAGCTCTTAGCCATACAGGAGATCTTACTGAACAGAATTAAGTGACGGACCGCAATGTTCTGTGTTAGAATAGAGCGCAACAAAACGGTGCACTAGGAATATTTTTCCCCAGCACTGCAGTAAGCGATGCCCGTAAGCGATGCTCGGCATATAAAAACTCTTTCTCCTCTTATTCTTGGTTATTTTGTTTGTGAGTCGTCTTTTACGTACAAAAAATAGCCTTTTGCTAGAGCCTAACGTACTGTGAACTGCTGCTGAGTAATGTTTAGGCTAATCCCGATGAAGAGTACCTGGATTTCAAAAAAGATTTGCGGCAGTCAGTTTGTCAACTGAATGTACTGTAACTTTAAGGATACTGTAACTTTAAGAATTATTCCTGCTACTAAAAACTCATTGGAAACATTCTCAAGCCATTTTGTTACAAAATTTGGTACATGATCAGCGAATTGGTGGCGAATTTTAATTCTATTGATCAATAAATGAGCGTCTTCGATGCAAATTTAAATAATTTACCTCGCCACGTTTGGAGTAATCTTCCTTGATTTCGTTTTTAGAACCGGCAACAGTTTTATTTAGTTGATTTACCCTGAACTTATCGAAGGCTTCACATCCCCAGTTTGGTATTTGAAGGGTTAAGTGTGATAAATTAGTGATTGATCTGAGCTGGTAAGTTCAATATGATTGCCTCTGTAGGCGATTCATACGAACTGACTTTGGTCGAAAAAAAATTTGGCTTCTCAGTTTTCTAAATCGTTAGGCTCAGCTCGGAATAGGTTTGAAACATGCATAACCTGCGATTGCCTTTCATCCAGGGCTAAAAGAACCCTGCAATTTACAGATCACTGTCGTTACATCTTAATATATATTTAAACAGAGCAAAAACGTTAGAGCCAAGAAAAATAGTTGCTACGCGAGAATAAGCATGACGTGGCGAAAGTATTTGGTTTATCATCGAACAAGGTATATTTCCTAGCCAATCATTTACTGAGAGAACATGAAACTGAATGTCTGACAAGAAGAATCCATCTGATACAACCGCCCCAAAAAGTAGATGACCTGCAGTCCCTAGCTAAGTGTTCACAAATATTAACAAAGAAGTGTTTTTCGACCCAAACATTTCATATGAAAGCCCTAACAAAAGGCGGCTATGAATAGTAAAAAGAGGAAGGTGAATCACACTACTTTGTTTTTTCTTACAGGAGTAAATCATGGCCGTTATATTTTTATTGATTTTGACTGGCGTCTTCCATGGTTATGTCAGTGGGTACCCTGCCAAAGGTATGCTTAAGATAATCAACATCTTTTTTTTCGTTTTCTCTTTCTTCTTTTCAGTTTATCTTATTCTTATTCCGTGGAATTAACCGCGGAATCATTAGCTACTCTTGTTCGAGATTAGATGTTTTAACACAAGTACTGCTTACAAAAACTTAATATCATATGAAGGCCGCTTTTTGGCGAGAGGGTCCATTGATTAACAAACCAAAACAAAATCCTTTGCTTTGAAAAACAACCTAAGCGAAATATTTTTACCCTTTCGAGAGTAATACAGAGCCACTTCAAATTATGTGGCTACAAGACCCTTGAAACTGATTGGAATAAACTTTTCGTAATCTATTTTCCCCACAAAGTAAAGTTATACTCCCCCGCTGAACCCCTACCTCCAAAAAAAAACCGAAGGAAATTAATTATCCTCTTCTCGATCCCTTACCATTAATAAAGAAAAATCATGCGGGCTTGTGGTTCCTTCTTGTCCAAGCACTTAATTAGAGAACGAGGAGACACCTTTCTAAAACCAAATTAAAATCAATTACGTCTTTATTCACTGGAAAATTTCACGAGAATCAAAAGTGCCTTGAAAATTAAAATACATGTCTGTTACTTTTTTGGTGAAGAGAATCAGTAGAAAATTAGCGATCTCCCTCTTTTCACAATGAGCAGCCGAAGTGCCATTTATCCATGCAAAATGAATTACGCATAGTCACTTAAAAACGTACTGATACATACCTACGTGTATACATATATGACTTCATTTTGTCTCGAAATTTCAAGAGTAGCTAAGAAGCTAATATCTTCGAGAAAAATAACATTATAAGTATAAAAACAACACGTAAACTTCTACTAACTATTATGTTTGACTACATTAGAAAACATCTAACCGGTGTAGTAATCAGCAATCGTGCCTGAAAGGAAACTGTTTTCACGACGCGTTTAAAACTAGACAAAGTACTGGCGCCGTTCTACTCTTTTCAGGTAAAGAGTTACAAGTTTTGCAAGCAACATACTTAAGTGTGGAGATCATAAGAATTGGAAGCAGTTTTACACAATGAAAATATATCAGGTCCTCTAGGAAAGTATAATATCTGTTAATTGTTTCTTTGTTCCTTTTTTTTTTTTTTTCTTGAACAGGTTATGCTCTCCATTTCCCACACCAAGGAGTGACTGATTACGCCAACGTCTGGGGCATGCGCAGTTTGACTCAGTTTACTGTGTGCTTTTGGATGAAGTCGAGTGCTTCAAATCCTGGCACACCATTCAGTTATGCTGTACCAGGGCAGGACAATGAGCTGCTCATCTACAACTACAATGGTTTTGAACTGTTCATTGGAGGCGAAAGGAAGTAGGTTAAATTTAATTTGGCAGTTCAAATTTACGGGGTTTGAGTGGAGTTGAAACATTACATCTAATTTAATAGTCAGTCATGGATATAAGTTTATCCTTCTGGCAAATCCGATGAATATGGAATCGAAAAAAAGCAACCTGTCTTGGCGGCTGGCAAGTCCAATGATATACAATTAGAGAGGAAGCTGATGTACCTTAATAGTTTTCAACACTCATTATCTTAATCTGAGTGAGGCAAAGTATATTTGAATGTGTGTTACTGGTCATATTGGATTCACTATGCGCTCAAGCCGGCATTTGCATTATTCCTTCTAAAAAAAATTATTCCTCTTCCACTGGCAAGGATTTTTATGATAAGCATATTTTTCATTCCTAAAGATCTCAGCTAGAATTTGAACTTGAAATGTGTAAAAACAAGCTTGAATTGTCTTGTGACTGAAATCTTTTTTTAAAGGAACTAACAACTAGTCTTAATTTTTTCTACTGCTCAAGGGAGGTACATGAATCAGCTAATGATGGTAGATGGCATCACATTTGCGTGTCGTGGCGAAACAGTGATGGCGTGTGGCAATTCTACAAAGATGGAGCACTACACATTCACACCAGAGGTCTGCGCAAGGGATACACCATTCAAGGAGGAGGTTCCTTGACGCTGGGGGTAGAACAAGATTCTGTTGGAGGAAGGTTCGAGTCTAACCAGTCCTTCCAAGGGTCTTTGACCAATGTCAACGTGTGGTCTTACGTCCTTTCGGCAAGTACAGTCAAGAGTATGTCGACGTCTTGCCTGTCAGGGGTGGGGAACGTGTACAAGTGGTCCGACTTCATTTATGGTGTCAAAGGAAAAGCCGCAGTTGTTATTCCATCGCCTTGTTATCCGCCCAGTTCTCGGGGATGATTACTCTGCGGCCCCAGACACATTGTGTTCAATCTTTTCAAAAAAAAATGGCCAGTTGA